CTTCTTTCCCCTTTTCTTCCTTCCTTTCTTTTTTCTCCCTTTTTAAAGAGAGGGTCTTAATGTAACAGATGCTGGCCCTGCACTCTAAATCCTCCTGCCTCTGACTCCCAAATGCTAGGATTTCAGGTGTGCATCACCGTATCTGACACATCTAGGGTGTGTCAGTGTCTAAAACTAAGAGAGGGCAGAACAATGAAGGAGTACGGGGGGGGGAGGGGAGGCAAGTGTGCACATGGCTGAAATATGAGTGTGCAGCTAGGCAAGTGAGAGTGTGCATGTGTGTCCACAGCCACGTCTGGATCAGTGCACACGTGAGTTCACAGTCACATACGGATCAGTGCATAAGCGTGTCCACAGCCACATATGGTTCAGAGTACACGTGTGTTCACAGTCACATATGGATCAGTGCACAAGTGTGTCCACAGCCACGTATGGATCAGAGCACATGTGTGTTCACAGTCACATAGGGATCAGTGCACAAGTGTGTCCACAGCCACATATGGATCAGTAAGCTATTGGACAGGACAGACAGATAGGGAAGAGATTGGGGCTAGGAGAGAGTGAAGAAGAAATAGGATAGTAAATGTGTGGGAGGACATAAAGCTGGAGACAGGACAAATGCTTGAGGCTGAGAGATTTGGATGTTGATAGATGGGTGCCAGGGTGAAATTCTACACGGGGGGGGGGACAGAGGTTATGAAGGTTGGAATGAGAAGAGAACGAATGGGTGGGTGGGTAGGTGGGGGAGTTCAGCCTGTGAACTTGAAGGGGAACTACAAAAGAGAAGAGAAAATGGATACATGGATATGTGGGTAGAAAATAGAAGAAAAATGATAGAAGGATGTATAAACTGAGCAGGGAAGAATGCAAATGAGGAAGGTGAGTGAGAAACACATATGCATGGCTACTTGGAGTGGAGAGATGGACGGGCGGGAGGATGTGCAAAGCATGCGCAGATGGGAGGTCGGGCTGGTGAGTGCTACGGGAAAATGACATCAGAGAAAGTTTAGCGAATCCGTGCTCAGGTTGGTAGGGATGGAGTGCGATGGTGGAGGGCAGTCAGAAGGACAGATGATTGTGCCAACAGGTGGGTGGGAGGCTGATGCTGTCTGGATGTCGTGAACAGTCTGGAGAACGGATTGGCACAGCCATGCGTCGCTTAATGAGGGGTATCTGAGAAACTCCAGATGGCCTCATCGTCTGCTGACATCACCGAGTTTATGTGCAAATCAGCGATGACACTAGCGGGAGAGGAAGTCTTGTGCATGTGACCTGCCGTTGCCTGAAATGTCCTCTACTGACTAACAGAGGTGACCGCATACATGGATGGGCGGATGGCGGAGAGATGGAAAGGTGGAGGGGTGGGCTGTGAACGTGTGGAGCAGTGAGTGGGAGAACAGTGGGGGGGTAGGTGGGGTAGATGCGGAGATGATGTGTAGGACGAGGGGTGTAGTGTGGACAGATGGATGGTGGGTGGGTCAGTGGATGGGTTGACGGACGAGTGTGTGGATGGGTAGAAGGGTAGGCGGATGAATGGCGGGGTAGGTGAGTGGATGGGTTGAATGGGCGAATGGACAGGTGAGTGCTGGCTGGGTGGTAGGTGGATGGGTGAGTGCGTGAGCAGATGGTTGGGAACCGGAGAATGAATAACCAGATGTGAATGCGTGTGATGTGGATAGACGGATGGTACACAGGCAGGTGAATGTATAAGTGGACAGGTGTGGCGTGGATAGGTGGATATCTGGAATGGATAAGTGGGAGGATGGCCGGCTGATTTAGTGGATGGATGGGTGCATGAATAGATGGATGGATAAGAAGATGAGTGGATGAATGATTAGGTGTGGGTGGGTAGATGGGTAGTGGGTGGGTGGGTGGGATGGGTAGGTGAATGGATGGGCTGATAACACTGATACTCAGAAGGGCGAGATGGACAGATACATACGTACAAAACCCAACCAGAATCTCCCCTCCTAACCTAGCATTTCAGGCTTTCCTGTCACAGGAAGTCCCCAAGCCTCCGGAGCTCAGATCAAACATCTGCCGCATGCTGGCTGCACTGTACTCCCGCTCCTGTCCTTCACACTTCTGCTCCCCACAGAGGATGCCCCCGCTTAGTGTCTGTTCCTTTCTTCAGGTAAAACTTTCCTCTCACCCACCCCTTAATGGCCATAGAAAATCCTGCCTCCTCCCAGAAGCCCTTACTCTGACCCCTACTTGGCCCCAAGCTCGCTCTGATGTTTCCCTTTTCCAAGACAAGTAGGCTATATATCCCCTCTGGTGGCATCTTCTATCCAGACAAATAATATCCTTAGGCCTCCCCCATGATGGTCACCATGCTTTGGACACTGAAGGGTGGTCCTGAGGGTTGGACAAGCAGATGTGACCAGGAAAAAAAAGGCCATAGAAGCTCTGCAGGAGAAACACAGGAGAATCTGTGCACCAATGTGTGCACAAAACTCAGTATTTCCCCAGAAAGTGGGTGATGAGGAACCATGAGGGGACTTGGACACCAAAACTGGATGCTGGGCACCGTCCAGCTAACAGTGGGGCTGTGTGGTTATGAGACAGTGTGTGGAGAGTGGGTTTACTGAATCTTCCCGAGACAGAGAGCAGGGCTGCATGGCTCTGACCTGACCCGTGTGGTGGGAGGAATGGATGGGGGCCTAATGGGAGACGGACATTCAGGGCAGGCAAGAATGCCATCATCTCACACCAGCCTGCCAGCCCCGCCTGATCACGTGACCACTTGAACGGTGTTGTGAGCAGATGAGATGAAGGGCTCGGCAAGCCAAGGCAGCCAGAAAACCTGCCAAGTCCTCCTGACCCCTGGTCCACCTGCTGTCCTTGGACATGCTTGCATTGGGCTGCATGAGTGGCAGGTGCAGCTGGTCAGGAGGCTGAAGCTACATACACAGGTGAACTGATTTTCAGGCATCCGGTCAGAGTTAGCCTGGCCTATGCTGACCCTGAACATCCCTCCAAAAGGACCCAAGGCCTGTCCACTGTTCCCTTGGAAGACCTCAGGGAGCAAAGCAGAGGAGAGAGAGTAAGCCTTTTCTCTTCTCCAAAGTGTCCACCTCACAGCCCAATACAAACCCATAACCATCCAGAAATGCCTGACCTACCTACAACCCACACCAGATGGGCTACCTGCCCAGCCAGCCGGACACAGCCTGAGCCAGGGGAGGAGGGGAAAGCTCCCGGACCAGAGCCTGGGCAGCCATGCCCAAATCCTCAGGCTGTAGACAGTGTAGGGACAGAGGGCACCAGAGAAGGCTGTGTTCCACTAACAGCCTGGCAATGGTGCTCTCTGCCTGGCACTGCCCCAGAGAACAGAGCTGAGCTGGCCTTAGGACATCCCAAGTCCGTAGGTCCCCTTCTCATCTTGCCTCTCAGCACAAGCATGTACACGCACATGCACACACACAGTTGTGGTGTACTTATATGCAAACACATATTGACTTACAAATATTTGCATGCATACATATTATACTCAAACATGTGTCCACTCATGATATACCTAAATGGATGTAGGCATGTGATTATGTTGGCACTGCTCACATGCAATTGGACATACATTTATAAATATGTTCATGTACACTTACACACAGTTACATTTGCCCACACGCATGCATATGTGCATGCGCATGATTACATGCATACAATAATGCTCAGACGTATGCTCAAGTGTCCACACTCACATCCATATAAACATAGCCATCCATGCATGTAACACACTCAAATGCACCCACTCATGTTCTCCACACCCATGGTAACGTACACACATGTGAGTACATGTGCACACACGTGCTATCACATGTTCTCACAGACATGGCCACTTATGTACACAACTCCCATGTGGTACCAGTTGAGGTGAGAAACCCAGGCCTGGAGATGAAGGCATGAAGATAACGTGATATGCTGGGTATGAGTCAGGCAGAGGAGGGGAGAACCTGGTGGCCAGCCATGTGATGCAAGGCAAGGCGGGGTTCATGTTTGCAGATGAATTGTGGGTTGAGCTGCCTGGGTATCCTTCCTCTTGGGTCAGTCTTGCCTTCACTTTTTACTCCCTGCAGCACCCTGCTACTTTGCCAGCCCCTGGCACCCCTCCTTGCTGGGCAGCTGCAATCTCTGGGCTGCATCTGGCTTGAGCCATTCAAGTCTGGGCTCAGGAAGTGATGATCTGTGTAATTGTGAGCCAAGCCCTTCTTTCCGGAGACGCAGGATGGGAGGAGGGCACCCCGGCACCATCCCCGTACCCTGCTGGTGGGGCTCCCACAGTCCAAGGATGCTCAGTCCTTGCCTGGGACACATCTATCACAGCTTCTCCCAGCCCCACTTTGCCATAGGAAGGGGTAGGGGGTAGGAGTGGCTGAAGGGTCCCACAGGCTTGCCACGCTGTTCCTTTCCCAGCCACCGACTCCCAGTGCAAAGGGGAGTTGGTCCTGGAAGTTGTAGCCACTGTGGGTACAGAGTGGCTGGGGATAGGATGAGTTTCCCAACTTTCCCCCCCCCCCAGGTCAGGTTTTAGTCTTCCGCCACAAATCCTGGCCACAGATCCCCCTGGGGAGGGACTGACATCAGAGGGTCTGCAAGGGCTCTGAGACCACCCCTCTGCTTCCCACAGCCACGGGATTTCAAGTCCCTTGGCTCCATGCAGACTGCATCCCATTTACATAGGTGTGACTACTGGCTATGTTGACTCCCATGTCTCCTGACCAGAGGACAGGACCTCGAGCTCTGAAGGCCTGCCCCCAACAATTTAACTAAGCTAGCTGTACAGAGCCGACAGCCCTACCCCACTCCCCAAGCTGGATCAAGTTTCCCTCAGAAAGGGAAGTGGCTCTTTGCTGTCCAGACCTGGCCAACAAACAGCCTTACCTCTCTGAACTCATAACAGATCTCCCGGCTGTGCTTGCATGCTCTGCCCCGGGCTTCACTAAGCGACACTGCATCCTGCTAGCCCCGTTAACCCTGCTCCCTCCCCCACCCAGGCTCACTTTGAGGGAGTAGGCCAGAGCAATGAAGCCCAGGCAGCAGAAGTTGAGGTAGACGAAGTTGAAGATGGACCACAGATAGTAGTCGTTCACCTCCGTGGTGTCGGGGTAGACCTCGATGACTGTCGTAGGGTTCGTCATGGTCTTCTTCTCAGCTAAGTGCTTGCAGGCCTGGGGGACACCTGATGCCCGGACGCTGTCAGTCTTGCTGCTTTTAGATTCCATGGGGAACAGAGTGGGTGCCATGGGGGGCGAGGCCGAGGGCTCAGGGGCTGGGCCCGCTGCACCCTGCAGGGCAGGAGGCTTGGACACGCAGGTGAAGCAGCCCTTGGGTGAACCTGCTGGTGGCCTGGGAATCCAGAAGGCCCCGTCCAGGGGGACTCGGGCTTCCTGGGTGCCGTCCGTGGTGCTGGCCGGGGCTCCCAGCAGGGCTGGGCACTGGCTGGGGCCCTGGGCCTGGAGGAAGGGACAGAGTGAAGAGGAACTGGGTCCTGAGAGCCCAGTAGCACCCACCCGGGAGCCTTACAGCATCTCCCCTGCAGCCCTATAAATGGCCTTCAGGAGATGGAAATCCCTGCGAGCTTGCCAGCTGCCAGCCTGCCTGCCACCTGCCTCCCCCACCCAGCCGGCCACGGCCAATACCAAAGCCATTCGCAGTAGACTTGGCAAGCATATCGGGGCTTTTCATCGCTTTGCCATCTGCACCCACTGACACATACAACAGCACCCCCTCAGCACCCTGACTGACACCCTGTTGCGAATAAGCAGAGCGCCCCTGCATCCCCACGCACTCAGGGCATTCAGACCTACAGTGACACTGCTCTAGTCACCGACTGGCAGAATGAACAGCTCTCACTGAAGCACATACACACCAAGATGAACCGCAAACATTATCGGCTCTCCAGTCCCAGCACACCCGCGCGCCCAGACGTGCCAGGTAAACAACTGCCCACCAAGAAGCGCAGCACTACACGCACCGCCCCACAGGCTCAGACACATCTCCGGAAGATACGCGCAGGTGCGGGGCTCCAAACTCGCTCACATTGCCCCCCCCTCAAGCCCGGCAGAAAGTGGCACCGAGTACCCTAAGAGCGCACACGGTCACAAAGAACCACTCACTTCCCCCTGCCCCCGTGCCACCAACAGACCCACAATGACACTCAGTGGAATGGACACTTCCAAGAGACAGCTTGGCGCCGGAGACCTGCGCCACAGGGCGCACCTGGCACCGGTGAAGAGATATCAGGGAACAACGGCCGGGCTGGGTGGCTCCTGGTTTGACCCCGATTGCAGCATCCACCAGGACCGCTCACCTATTGGCGACGCGGCGGTGAGTGGGCCAGACGCCTTGGAGAGCTCGTCCTTCCGCCGTCCCGGGCCGTTGTCTGTCCGCTGATCGCTTCCCAGCGGCCCAACCTTGGGGGCGGGGAGCGAACGGGGCTGGCGCCGCTGCCTCCCCCGCTGCCCGTGCGCGCTCCGCAGCGCCAGGCCGGCCACGGCTGCAGCCAGAGCCTGACTCACAGCGTCGCAGACACCTCCGCCTCCTCCAAAGGGAGGGAGAGGGCCCGCGAGCACGGAAGCCAGGACCCCAGGGAGTCGCTAGCTGGGCGAAGCTGGGACCCATGTAAACCAAGAGCTGCATGACTCCCATATCCGCTGACCATGGAGCCGCCACTCCAACCCACCTGTCCTCACATTCTCTCGCGGGTCCTCAGGTCCCGCGCAAGTCTGTCTGCTGAGCACTCCACCTTGTTCCCAGGGCTGATCCCTTCTCCCTATATCCCTTCTCACACTGAGCCTTGCTAGTTCCAAGACCTGTGCCTTCAGAACCCTTTACCTTGAACCTCTTCCTCTTGCCCTGTTGAGTCCTATCTGCCACCCTCGGTCCCCATTAGTCCTTGCCCTTTCTTCATGGGGTCTGTCCTGATATCTGCTTCCCAAGCTCCCACCCACCTCTACCTTGATCCTGCACAGATAGGCTCCTTCCTTACTACTAAGTCCCTGTCTGAGCTGACCCAGCCTCCATCCCTAATCAGGCTTCCTTTTGGAGTCTCTGGGTCCCTTGAAGCCTCCAGACTGCAGATCACAGTTCCTACCCAAACGGGATGCAACACACCAAATCCCAATTAAGTATTCATCTTTGTTCAATCCTGTCTCTCAAGTCCCCAAGGTCAATGTCCAGGGTTTTTCCTCCTGAGCCAAGTCCAGGCCCTTCACCAACAATCTTCAATCCCCACCCACCAGCCGAGCCCTGTTGGATTAGAGTTCCCTTCTCCCAAGTCTGACCCCACCAAAGCCTGGTTCATTTGTGCTAATCCTGTTCATCATAAATCCGGCTTGAAGAATCTGACCTGTAACAGGCTGGCCTGTCCCTGCACAGCCAAGCTCCCCTCTGGCCTCAAGGCCAGGTGTGCTACTCCAATGCCCTGAACCCTGGTCCCTCTGAGACCCCCTACACCGGTCTCCTTGGAATAAGCCCTTCCACCCCCCCATCCTGGGCCCCAGTCCCCTGACCGTATTCTGTCCCTGCACATTACTTGCCCTAGGCAATACTGTCCTCCACGGCTTAGTTCCATCTCTCTCCCCTAATTCTCAATCACTTGAACACTTGTCCCAAACTGAATATCCAGATCTAGATAAGTCCCAATGGGATCTCTTTACCATGGAAGACCCTCAACAGTCCAGTCCTCCCTCCCTCACAACCCCTACCTCACCATGTGTGTGGGGTGTTCTCAGTAGGTCCTCCTCACCCTACTTTCAAGTTACCTAATCTGTGCACAAGAGCCTTGTTTCCCACCTTCTTCTTTGAATTCCGCGAGAGAGAGAGAGAGAGAGAAAGAGAGAGAGAGAGAGAGAGAGAGAGAGAGAGAGAGAGAGAGAGAGAGAGAGAGAGTCTTCTCTGGGACTCTTTCTAAAGTGGTCCAGGGCTGCCTAAGCCCTTAGTCTTTCTGGTCTCCTGGAACCCAGACTCTCTGAACCCTGAGTCCTCCAAAGTCCTGTCTCCTGGATAAGCCCTGCCCCATGCCAAGATCCTCCCTTTCCAGCTCAAACCCCACCTCCGACCCCTGCTGACCCCTGGCACAGCTCAGTTCTGCACATCAGGAATTTTCAGTTCGAAGTGGATCTTAAGTGTAGATTACAAAAAGAAGAAAAACCCTCCTTTAGCGGGTGGAATTAATTTCCAAGCAGGCAGGGACCCCTCCTACCTTTTCTTGGCTTTCTTCTGGACACTCCCTAATGGAGCCTAGCCTTGTTGGTCCAATGAGCCTGGGGGCAAATGGGCCTTGCCAGAAAGCCAGTTCTCCCTCACCCAACTCCATCACTCCTTTGGATCCCGAAAGCCTGGCAACCGGACTGGCTGAGGTCTGAATTGAGGAAGGTCCTCCCCAGCTGTGTACCATACCACTAATTTCCACCCATTTGCACCCTTGACTTTCTCCTTGCCACACAACCTGGGCCAGCTGTTGCCCTTGGCATATCTGGCCTGTGGGACTCAGACTTCAAGGAGCAGAGGGGTCCTTTGGCCCTCAGGTCTGCGCAAGGTCATTGACAAGGTGAGCGCTGAATCAGGAGGCCTTCTTCCCAAAAGTCAGTTTCAGGGCTCTAGTCAGTGTCCCAACTCTCCACTGGTGAGGAAAGGGCTGGCCTCAGGTATGGTCATGCCTGACTGTCCACCAGATCAGGGGTTTAAGGGAAGAAACACCCACCACCAGAAAGCTAGGATGTAGGTTTTACAGGCAGCATGGGTGCTGCTTCTTCCCAGGGACTGCAGGCCGATGTGAGGGTATCCTCAGCTAGAAGAAACCAGATTGGAACCCTGAGCTAGATTCCGGGGCATCCTCAGGGCAAGCCTGGGTGGTAGTGGTAGCTGCAGCAGCAGCAGTAGCAGCAGGAAGGCCTGGCAGTGCACCTCAGCCTCAGGCCCGCAAGGGAGGGAGGAGCTACTTCTTCAGCTTTGGTGCACAAGCCTTTGATAACTCTAGTCTCTAGAAGTCCTGCCAAGCCCTGCGGGACTCCTCAGATTTCAGAGAACACTGGGCACATGTTTACTGGCCTTCCAGCAATCCTTGATACTGCTCAGTACCATAGTCCCCTGCACGCCTCCCACTGAGACAATTACAGCCAATGTCCAGCAGGAGAAGGATGCCAGGATAACCCCAAAGGGTGACAAAGGTCACACTTTCCTATATCCTGCACCTTCTGGTGCGAGGAAGGGACTCCAAGACGACAGGGGTACTGATTCCAAAGCAAATCCCCGCCCTACCAGTAAGGACTCATGAATTCCTACTCTCGGTAGCTGTGCTCACCCCCTTTCTCCTGAGACCCAACCTTCATACTAATGCTTGTACGGTGACTGCAGCCCATGACCAGGGGTTTCTGATGAACCCAAAGACCCCAGGCATGCAGGCTTCAGCACTGGCTTGATTAAAAAAGGAGAAGGCTGCTTCTGGCAGAGGCCCAGGCAGGAGGAAGGCTGCCCACAGACCCAGCAACAGTCGAAGGACTGACTGTTGAGATGGGAATGTATGGAGCCCTAGGTACCCTTATGGGTCTCATTCCGTTTTCTCTGGGGACAGGCTGGTTTCCTGGCAAAGTATAGCAGGTGTTGGCCTGGCCACCTCTGAAAATGATTCAACACAGGCCCTGCCCCAGAATTCTAGGCCTGTCCCAGTCTCCAGCCAAGGCCACATCCGGCTGCTGAGGTCCCAGAACCTGCCAGTTCTAGGCCAGACTCATCTTGCCCACAAGGCTGAACAGCAAGCCAGAGCCTCGGGAGTCCCCTCTGTGGGCTGGCCTAGCCCTGAAAGCCAAACCTAGGCTCTCGCCCCACCCCACCCCAGGCCAGCTTGACCCTGAATGAGCTCTCAGAAGCACTGTGTCTCCATCCTCAGGCCCCATTTCGGAAGCGTACAGAGCACACCAACACAGAGAAAGAGGCCCAAAACAACTGTATTTGTATACCAACTTTGGCTCCCAGCTGCTTAGCCCAAAATGAACAGAGCAGAGGCCAGCCAAAACCAGTCAGCCATCCTTCCTCTGCCCCGGGCTAAGGCATGCTTTCCAGGGTGGGTGGGGTCAGGCCCCAGGTAACACCCCAGATTCATAGCTTTTGCTTCTGTCCTCTTGCTCCTTCCTGCTGGTCTTCAGGCCTCTGTCAGGCCAGGATACAGACAGTGGGGCAGTGGAGCTTGGTCATCTCCAGGCTGGGTGAGGGACCTGGGTCAGGTAAGGTTTCTAGGAGGGATCCTAAGACCCGTTTGCCTACTTTGGAATGCCGCCCGCCCGCAGAAAACGGAAGCAGGACAAGGCAAGCTACCAAACCAGTAGGGGCCTTTCAAGGCAGCCTGTATACTGGGTGGGCCTTGGCCTTCTTCAGACAGGCAGAGGATAGCATTCTGAACCCAGGGACAGAACCACAGAACAGAACAGCTGGACCAGTGCCAGCCAGGCCTCCCAAGGGCCCGGCAATGCCAGGCGAGTGTGAATGTGTGTGAGCGGGGCAGGTAGAAAGGTGGGGCTGGCTGGCTTCCTCTAGTGGACTCTGATCCGTTTCCCTGCCGGTGGGCAAGGGGCAAGCTAGAGTGTGGCAGCCTTGGCAAAGCCCACCCTATTGTTGTCTCTGTCAAACACAGTGTAGTAGGTGCCAATGAAGACATCGCCCAGGATCCAGAGAGGCCCACTGGGAGGGGGGATGTCCATGCCCATGAAGCCACTCAGGCAGATGGTCTTTCCACCCTGCGACACCTGCAAGGCCAGAATGGTCACATCATCACAAGGTTCCCACCTCACCCAAGGTATCCCAGATTCACACTGCCACCCGCACCCACTCACCTTGAGTATGTACTTGTTTGGGGACAGTTCATAGTTTTTGCCTCCTAGCTTCAGGGTGACAGAGGGCAGGCTGGATACCTTCTCACAAGGAATCATGTACTGAGAGACACAAAGACAACATGTCCTGAGGGTCTGGCTTCTGGACCCCCCTCTGCCTGCCGGCCAGCCCACACAGGCCTGTGGCTTACCTCGCCCTGGATAAGAGGTACTGCTCCAATGGCCTTCTGCAGTTCCTTCACCTCGTCCACAGGCCCCACCATAAGGGACGTCCCTGTGTCCACAATAGCCTCACAGCCTCCCTTGCACAGCGTCAGGCCATTGGCCACATCCAACCTATAGGGCAAGAGTCATCTGTCACCTCACCCTGACACAGTGAGTCTGGGGCACAGCTTGTCTAGTCCAGCCCTGGAGACACGTGCTTCTTTTCTGTCAGGACCAACCAACTCACGCAGGACCCTGAATGGTCCAGGGTTACAAAATGAGAAGACTCAAATGGCAAAGTAGCACAAATGGCTGGTAGGGCCCCCAGCTTCCCACATGCCACCCCTATATAACATTCCCAATCCCAGCCACACCCATAACTCACTGGTCCATGTGCACCTGCCAGTAGGCCCTGCGGGTGACATTCAGGTAGGACAGCTCCCCCTCGTAATACTTTGAGTCAATGCCGCCAATCATCAGTTCCCCTCCAGGTTGCCCGCTGGGATCCCTGGGAAGAGAAGGATCAGTCAGTCTCCACTCACTAGACAGGAGAGTCAGCAGGGCGGTGATGGCGCAGGCCTTTAATCCCAGCACTAGGGAGGCAGAGGCAGGCAGATCTCTGTGAGTTCGAGACCAGCCTGGTCTACAAGAGCTAGTTCCAGGACAGGCTCCAAAACCAGAGAAACCCTGTCTCGAAAACAACAACAAAAAAAAAGGCCTGTACTAGACAGAAGGGTCATCAGAGAGCCAGAGAACAGGGGTTAAGGAACAGGGGCTGTGGAACAGAGCCAGGAAGGGGTTAAGTGGGGCAACCAAGGAGGGCATCTGGGGGCGGGGGGGGGGGAGAGACCTGGGGAGCTGTTGAGTACAGCTGGACCTGCTCTGTGCCTAGACTTGAGTTTCTCTACTTTATAAAGCATCATCCTTAGCCTGCGTTATTCTGCTGAGTGTGAAGTAGCAGTAAGAATGACTCACATCTTACTTACACAAACAAATCCTCACCATCCAGCAGCACACCAGGAAACAAACTGATAAACAACAATCGAGACGATCAGATCCTAGCTCCAACAGACTCCAGCTTATCAGTCACACCAGATGGAAACCCGTCACCTGGGACCCCAAAGAGGCCACCCAAGGCAGAAATGCAGCAGGTATACCACGAGCCTGATCCAGGAATACTATCTTGGCAAAGTACCCCATATTCTGTCCCCAGGCTGTAGGCTCAAATAGATTCTCTTGCCTCTGAACTCAGTGTACTTCCAAAGTGACCCTGAAAAGGGCGCACTGCCAAAACCTACAACTGGCATCTCTGTGATTCAGAAGACTTCGTATGCGGTTTTCCCTACATTCTTCCTGGTGTTTGTATCAACTCTACCTCCAGCTTCTATGCAGCCTCTCTGGGCTCTGCAGACTCTGGAATGCTTTCTTAGCTGTTTTGTACCTGAACATACAGACAGTATTGTGTGAGCTGTTAGTATTTGTAATTAAGATCGAAATAAAAGTGGCTGGAGAGATGGCTCCGTGGTTAAGAGAGCTTACTGATCTTGCAGAGGACTGAGTTTACTTCCCAGCACCCAAGTCAGGAAGTTCCCAAACAGCTGTAAAGCACCTGGGAATCCCAACACCCTCTTCTGGCCTCCACTGACAACTGCACTCACGTGCAAATACTCCTACCCAGACACACAGCAATGCAAAGACCAGGAGTAAAACCTGAGATCCCAGAGGCTGGCTATCAAGCAAAACTGGGATTACCAGGCAAACTGCAGTAAATAAAACCTATTTAGATTGTGATTTTATCGCTATTCAATAAATTCTAATACTGCGGAAAGACACAACATGTCCATCTACATTTCCAACACGATGCATTCATGGCGCCCTGCCTGCCTGGAGTACAGTCAGCCGAGGGCTCAGATCCTAAGCACAATTCATGTTTTCTCATGTGCTA